GAAAAAAAAAAAAAAAGCCTGTATTAAAAAAAAAACAAAAAGGCAAAACAAAAACACAGCGTTGAGGTTTATCCGGTTCCCAAGGATATCTCGGTTGTGCCGAGAACAACGTGAATGCTCCCCAAGGTCCGTCCGGGAACTCTGCAAATGCACACACAGGCTTGCGTCTCGTTGGTTTCGTGCGGAATAAACAAAGCCACCCTAATATTTTACTTGTTAGAAAACACACAAGAAACTTTGCCAACAAATAAACGGCAAGCGCTTCAAGAGTCAACCATGAGAAAGCGGGGCTCGTAAACAGAACATCAACACAATCACTCGGCGTGGAGTCCTAAGGTCAAAAGCGTCAGGACCTTGAATGCGGTTCTCTCCCCCCACCCTGCCCCTCCGCCCGCTTGTGCAGGTGCGCGTGCACTCTCCCTCTCTCTCAAAATAAAGATATAAACTCAAAAAAAAATAAAATAAAAAATACATAAAAAGCTTAAGCTCATTACTTGCTGGTTGTCTCCAAGGCAAGGTCACCTGATAAAACCCTCTTGTGTTCAGCAAATCAGGGCTTGTTAGCAAGTGATCTCAGCCACAATCAGGGTGCAGGAGACACAACCAGGTCTGAGGAACAAAACGTGTGTAATGGGGAGACATGGGCAGTACGCGCTGTCTGGGGGAAGCCCCTGCTCAACGCACAGCGACGCACCCTTCCCGTGGGAGCGGGGGCGCCAGACCAGAGACCGAGCGACTGCCTGACGGGGCCCAATGCGTGTTGGCTGGTTCATCATCTGCTCCTTAAAAGAACAAACGTCACCGTGTGGGTGACGGGCTGTGAAGCGAATGTCCTTTTTCCAGGGAAATACATTTTTCTCCAAAAGATATAAATAAGACGGGAATGGTTAGTTCAGAAGAGGAATACCAACACTTACGCCAACAATAAACGAATCCTTGGAAGCCTGCTGAAGAAAAGGCAGGCCTGCTTGGCGATGTACTTGACTGGATTTCAATGAAAATCACCTCGGGGCGCCTGGGGGGCTCAGTCGGTTGAGCATCCGACTTCGGCTGAGGTCACGATCTCGCGGTCCGTGAGTTCGAGCCCCGCGTCGGGCTCTGTGCTGACGGCTCAGAGCCTGGAGCTGCTTCGGATTCTGTGTCTCCCTCTCTCCCTGCCCCTCCCTCGCTCGTGTTCTGTCTCTGTCAAAAATAAATTAAAAAAAAAAAACATTAAAAAAAACATTAATAAGTAATAAATGAAAATCACCTCACATGTACAGCTAGCTGTAAACAGGTGGTTCTCCTGGACAGTTTTCGGGGCATGGTCTCCCTGGGGGCAGTCACCGAGCCAGCGCAGTGACAGAAAAGGCCCATCCCTTCCATCTGTCCTGATGGACCAAACAGACCATTAGACGGACGTGTCCGCAGCGGCACAACTTACTAACGGCGCAAGCTGGTCTGGAGGCTGTGCGGTGCAAAACCCGCGGGCTGACTGCGTTCATCCAAAGCGTCTGACTTTGACTGCAATCTCGGCCTCGTAACCAGGCATCCTGGCCAAGTGCAAACAGCCCGAGAGAGCGATAAACAGGAATTTCCGCTCAGAGAAAGGCGCAGGAGGGCGCGTGTGTTGATCACAAAGTTTCTGCTCGTGGTGCCCACGAGTCAGACCATGAGGATGCGACTGGTGATGCTGAGAAATGAGAGTGGGACGTTGCCATGAGCCACTCGGGCCGCTGGCCCGTGTGCCACGCGGGACAACGACAGGACCACCAACTCCGTTCTGAACGGGACCCGCATTCTTGGCTGCTGGGCACACATTCCAAGCAGGTGAGTTTCGTGACATCGTTCCCTGTAGGAGAACGTCCGTGTCTTGTTAGTGACCATTCACACATCAAAGACACATCTCCCTGTGATACGCTTCCCGCGACCCCCCCCCCACCGCCAGTACGCACAGAGGCTTAAGAGCCCCCTAGAAAGACGTGTCACATGCTGACAAAGGAAAATCACAGAATCGACGCCCCTCACACCAAGGTTAACGGGCCAAGTTCGAAGTGTAAATGACCTAAAACCAGGGAAACGGTCTACAAAACTTAAGAGAACACTAACGTGGCAGCACTAAATACTGAACCCAGAGTTCAAAATCTGAAGAACACAGACCCCACGGCTAACAATCCACTTGGGACCCCGGAAAACGTTGGATTTGCTAGAACGACCTTGTTCTCTAACCAGGGACAACATGAGAACTCTTGATTCCGGGGTGACTTCTTACTCTGCATACTCTCCCTTGGTGAGTTTACCCCTCTTTCGCTGGGTGTGCGGGTCCGTTTTTAAGCAAAGGAAACTGGGAAGCTCTGTCTCTCTCTCTCTCTCTCACACACACACACACGCACACGCACACAATCAGGGAAGGCAGGTGTTCTCTCTTTCCTACAGAGCTGGAGTCCATCTTCCAAACAAACGACATACGGACCCAAAGGCCAGGAGGAGCCCTTTGCTGGCCGTCAAACGGCTGTACCGGGAAGTCCGGTGTCCCCCGGGGAACAGCAACGTCAAGAACCCATCCTACACTGACTAAGACCCCCAAGGCCCCGCGGGACCAACTCACTTCCACCGCGCTTGAGAGAGAGACTGGAGACCTTCCAAACAAAGTTCCGTGATACCTCGCGGTCACCTCCCAAAGATGTTGGGCTTGACGAAATCCATACCTTAGCAGCGTAAAGATCACACAGAAACCCCCGAACGCTATTTGGGGGGGGCGTGGTCTCATCTAAACACACAGGAAAACAGGTCCCAGCAAGGCACTGTTTCACCTCCAGAGGCCTATGAAAAGGCATTCTCAGACCAGAGGGCCTCGTCCTTGAGAGGGCACTCAGTCTGACTCACAGGGGACGGGGACAGTCCGGCGACAGAGACCCTCACCCTGCTGGGGGGAACGGGCAGCACTGGTTGGAAGTTGGTGTGCGTCAGGACAGAGAAGCCATTCGTGAGAGAGGACATGACCCGGGTCACGGTATCACAGCACAGAGCTCGATGACAAGCTCTACGACACAGCTCCAGTTGGTCCCCAGCTGGGGCAGTGTTGGGGGGGAGGGGGGTGGGTCGCCTCCCCAGAGGGAATGTGGACTCCAAACACCATATGCTCCTGAGAAAGGTCTGTTTCAATGAAAACCGAACCATAACTTGTAGGTCAGCCAAGCAAATCCGGATAGGGTGACGACAGGTGAGTGGGCTCCGTGAAAACTAAGCTCGGAGCCCGAGTGGCACACGGCTAGGCTCAGGACCACCGGCTGCCACAAGGAAGAGCTCGGGGGCGAGGCCGTGACCATGTAAGCTGGCTGGCTTGTCCAGGGATCCCAGTTCATTACCATGAAGGGTCTGCACGGGCTGGAAGCGGGACACCACAGGCACGAGAGCCACTGCGGGTGGCCTGAGCCCCACGTGAACTCTCCTCCGTCTCTTCTGCCCGGGAAGGGCTTCCTGTCCCCAACCCAAGGGCGGTGTCCGAAGTGCTGCTAAGATGCCCCAGCAGCACGGTGTTCAGCCGTGCGTGACGTAAGCCCACTGCTCTGGGGATGCTGACCGCGCTGGGGACAGGAACAAGGAACGGAGGAGAGTCACCTCCCTTTTCTGCTATCGGAAGATTCAAAAACTCCATCCCCCCAAATCGCTAGTTAGTGGCGTTGGCGACACTAAGCGGGCACGACCCGAGCCTTGGTTCGGCTGGCTGGAGGGCCCGCCGTGATTCTGGGGGAGCCCGCGGGCCCACGGGAGCGCCGGCGACCGGAAGTGGCGAGAGCAGTCAAAGAAACACCGTGCACAGCTTTAAACCAACTTTGTGATTTTTATTGGTGGGGGACAACTTCTGTAGTCCTAGAGATCACTAAACTGTGTACAATTAGAGACGCAGCATCACAGAAGAGCAGACGGCAGAATTAAACAGAGCGACTGAAGGAAAGATCCGTCGTCATGATTTTGCCCATTTTTCATTATGTGTACACAGAAGCATGAATGCAACGTGAAATCTTTTAATGGCAATAAAGTTTACAACCACCCACCTACGTGGGCTAACGTCTTAACTCCGGGTATCTGATCTGCAATGCATACGTAAGCAGCTTTTCATCGCACGATTACTAACACGTATCTTTCCGGTGAGGAACCAGCAACTTATTTTTCGTATTTATGTTTCTTTTAGAAGTAAGAACTATGTCTCCTCTGATAACTGGCTCGTTTTTATCGTTTATCAAAAACTAGAGGGTGGGGAAGGAAAGTGTGACGGATTAAAAAATTTACTCCTTAAGGAAAGATAAAATTCATTTTCACAAATTTACAAGTGTCGCTGGTGCAGGATTTATTCTACTAAGCAATTAGACTGCGAATCGAATGCAAGTTCCCCCTTCTCACTCAGGAATCGGCATTATTTCAGAAACACGGGTTCTGTGTATTTTCTCAAATCGAGTGACGGTCTGTTTCAACCAAATGATTCGGATCTGGAAGGCAGGCGGCAACGTGAACTGTTGCGCACAAGCCCCGAGGCGTCTGCTCTCCGTTCTAGCCCGTTCTGCCAAGGACGAAGAGGCTCCCCCTAGAGAGCCACTAAAGACGGGAAGGAAGTCAGAGGGAGTCGGCGTCTGCAAGCGGGCGGCGGGCACACGGCGCGCAGGCGGCTACAGCAGGTCCACGCGGCGGTAATACAGGAGGTAGGCTGTGCGTTCGGCAGTGGGCTTCACCACCTGGTACTGGTTCACCACCTTGACCGTCTGGTCATCGATGCGCAGCCAGCCGTTCAGACCGATCTGGAAGACGTCCGTGGTGTAGTGGCCGCCCGTCGCGCTGCTGCCGTGATGGTAGACCACTGC